GAAAACAATCATCAATACCACCACCACCACCACCACCACCACCACCACCACCAATTAAGAGAGCCGCGACAACACGGACAACACCACCGCCGCGGCCAACAAGAGAGCAGCAACCAACGCCCTTACCGCCGGGAAGACATTCGCCTCCTGCACCCTCGAAGCGCCGTCGTGGGTGAGGCAGAGCGCGTGAAGCACGTTCGGCACGGTGACCAAGAGGTCTGATGACGGCGGCGGCGCCGGGGTCGCCGTCAGCACCTTGAGGTACTCGTCCACGATGCCCGACCTGCGGGTGACCACAAGAAACCACGTGAAAAAAAATAAACAAATAAAAAATCATTGCTTGGGGATGACATTCATTGCAGAAGCATCCTGGACAACGTGTAGGAAGACCGAAAGAAAAATCCCTGTGCGATTGAGGTTTCTCGTCGTAACAATTTTTGAAGAGAAACCACCTAAAAAAAAAAAAAAAGGGTACGTGGGGAACCGTAGAAACACAGGTATGCTCCGCTAACGCTATATGGGTTAATTCCTATTTAAATATATCCCCACTTAGAGCCTTATCAGTTGATACATAACTATTTATTATAGATGGATTCCTTGTGATATGTTAAGAAAAAAACACAATTAAAATCTCTGCGTATCGAGGTGAAGGTTGCTGTTGGTCGTACTAATTTTTGGAGAGAAACCACAAAAAACAAATGCTGCTTGTGAAGTCGTAGAAATACAGATAGTGCTCCCCTAACGCTATGAGTTCATTGCACATTAATTCTGGACCCTTATCTGTGGACATAGATATATGGATTCGTTGTGTTATACTTCCAAGTGAACTTCACCTTCACCGGTTGTGGCGGGGAAAGGAAACGTCGCAGCGGCCACAAACCAAGGCGGGCACGACAACAAACACATACAAGCACAACACACAACAGCACTGCACCCGAAACTACTTCAAGAAAAAAAAGTAACACTGCAACCGATAACAAACACTGCACCAACCAACAACACCAACAACACCATCACGACGACGACGACGACGACAACAGACCAACACTTCAACATATAACAAACACTGGACCAACCAACTAGACAAACAACACCATCGCCTCCACCACCACGACCACAACAACAGACCAACACTTCAACCGATAACAACACTGCACCAACCAACTGGACAAACGATACCAACGCCACGACGCCGACGACAACAACAACAACAACAACAACAACAACAACAACAACAACAACAACAACAACGTGAACAAGACAAACCTGAGCAAGTAGGCCACAGTGGTGCTGGGGTCTTGGTTGGCCACGTCCGAGATGAGGGTCGCCGTCAGCGCCACCAGCACGCCCCCGAACATGTCGCTGTTGCGGAAAACGTCCATCACCGCCGCCGTCAAAAACGCCTCCAGCAGGGGGTCTGATCCCACCTGCTGGTGTGTTTGGGTCTGCGCAAAAAAAAAAGAAAAAAGGGGTGGAGATGTGTGAGGAAATTTTTGAACGGAAACGGAGGGGATAAACAAATGTTGAAGTTGAGTATGTTCCATGCCTGAGGTAGGTATAGTCTTGTCTTTCGACTGAAGAACCTGTACACCTGGAAAAGGGGGGGTACTATGTACTGTAATGCTAATATTCAATCACGCCTGCAGAACTCGCATGCCTACAAAAAATGAACCGCTACTAAATTAACACCTAGGTTTCCACCGAGGGGGGAGGGGGTCAGTAGAGGGGTAACGGACACACGCACCGCGACCAAGCACATGAGGTACAACTGAAAACAACCACCATCAACATAAACACACACTTTTTCGCATCGTCAACGTAAACATACACATCGCTACGCCCAAGGTTGCACGACCGAATCCCAACAAACTCTTCGCTTTTGGCTCAACAAACGCTTTCGGCAAAACTGTTGGCAAAGCTTTTGGGGTACTACGCTTTTGGCTACTAAGCTTTCGGCTAATAAAACGTTTAGGTCAACAAGCTTTTGGCTACCAAAGTACTCGTTTAGGTTCACAAGCTCTTGGGAAAACCTTCCCTCCGCTTTGCGCCTGGCGCACCTGGTTCTGAAACGTGATGCTGAGGGCGTTCAGAACGGAGAAGAGGAGCGCCTTCTGCGACGGAGACGGGTCGGCCAGGGGGCCACCGGCCGCCGCGCTCGCATCGTCCCCTGCGCCCCCCCCCCCGGCCCCGTCGGGACCGCCTCCCGTGGCGACAACAGCTGAGGAGGAAGAGGGGGCTCCCCTGGCCTTGCCGTCCTTATCTCTACCCTTGCCTTTACCCTTAGTGGTCTTGGAGGAGGAGGGCGGCTTCTTGCTCTTGCCTTTGCCCTGTGAGGGGGGTACAGGGAGTTGTGAGTTCGAGAGGAGGAGGAGAGAGGGAGCGGGAGCGGGAGAGGGAGAGGGAGGAGAGAGAGAGATATATAGTATTGGGTTAAACAGTAGAGCAACGACGAGAGGCAAAACGGGAAAGAAAGACCGCGACACGACAAGTTCGCCACTCACGCCAACCCCAAAAGCAACCAATCAAGTCACATACCATCTCCGAGGACTTGTTCCGATTTAGCAACGATGCATCACCCCCCCCCCGCCCCAACGAACCCCCCTCCCCTTGAATGCCAACCCGGAAACAACGCTTACAACACATCAGTAGTCCGACAATAAAACAGTCCTTTTGGGGGACGCTGTTCTCAATTATTGCACCTACAAGCAAGATGGTCTACAACAGCAGCAGGCCTTTTTCTTGGCAATTTTTCATTCACCAAGCGTGGTTTCAACACAACAGTAGTCAACACCTTGAACACTGACAGGGTTTCTCTAATCAACTCGCGCCGTCTCAATATTAACAAATAAATGGTGTTTACCGTTCCCAAAATACAGAAAAAAAAAAGTCGGACCTCGGCTTTGCCCTTGGGGTCGTCCACCACCATCCCGCTACCGCCACCACCACTACGGTTATCTCCCGCCGCCGCCGCCGCCGCCGCCGCCCCGGCATCGCGAAGCCTTCCAACCTCAGTGGAAAAAGCGGACGCGAGCACCTGTCGTTGTACCGGCAGTTTAGGCGGGAGAGAGGGGGGGAGGGGAAGAGAGAGAAGACGGAGAGGTTCCACAATGAACGAACGAAATATATAGGCAAGAATAGGACCACAAGAACAAACTTCGACAAAAAAAAAAAATGCTCGCCGAAAAAAAAAAAAACGAATCAGGGACCACCAACGAACGGAGGCAGCAGCAGCGAAAATTCGACGCCAACAAATCATTATTAAAAAGAGAAGGTTGACAGCATTGAAAACAAATAAGCCAACCGAAAAAGAAGGAAATAGCCCGCGCGTATGCTACCAACACACAAAAATGCCGACGCACCTCGGCTGCGCCGAGATCCCTGAATGCGGAGAGAGCGGCCGCATTGTTCACCACCGCTGTCTCCATGATCTGAACGGCCTGCGACACCACGTACCGCCGCTGGAAGGGCTTGCCCATGCCGCCGAAGCCCTGCTTGATCAAAGAAAACAACATGTCACAAAAGGACACAAAAAAAAATCACCAAGACGTCGGTGAGGACGGTACCGTAGGTGACATGACGTAAGATATCACACCCCCTGGACCAACTTTCGAAGCTCGATGTCTCGACAGGAGAAGCAGTGACGGTGCCCAAGATGGCGGCGTTGGAACCGTATCGTCGAGAGCTATTCCGAAAACGTATACCTCAATTTCGGCATCCTCTTCGTCGTGGAGTAATCGAGCTGTGAAAATCGGTCCAGGGGGTGTGATATCTTACGCAATACCTATGGTAGTCACCAGAACACGAGGGTGGGGGCTCAAACCAACGGCATCTTATCACGAAGGCATGACTGCAGTGGGTGGGTCTCCAACAAACGGCAACTGAACACAAGGCACGGCTATGGGGTGGGTCTCTCAAGTCAGCGGCAAGTTCAACACGAAGCACTACTGCAGTGGGTGGGTCTCACCAAACGGCAACGCAACACAAAGTACGGCTATGGGGTGGGTCTCTCAAGTCAACGGTAACTGTTAACACCAAGCACGCGGGGTCGGGGTTGGGTCTGGACCCAACGGTACAGCGGTATGGAACACCAAACACGAGGGACGACGCGGCAGCGGGTCCCCACCAAAAATAAACCGTGCCCTTCACGACAAGCACACAGTCGTAGTCCCACCTGTCCGTCCATGTTGAGCTGCACGACGTTGAGGAGGGCCGGGATTAGCCCGCACTCGGTCATGGCCGCCGCCCCGTGCTGCACGCTCACCACCGCCCACACCAGGCTGAACACCGTCTCGACCCAGCTGGAATGCACCAACGAAACGCACAAACAAGCAACCAAAGAGGAACAACAAAGAAATACGGGCCATCAAAACAAACGGGATACAAACGAAAAAGACAGACAGCAGTGTAAACAAGCAGAGGCCACCATCGACCGCTCTAGCGTAGCCGGCTGCCCAACGAAGACGTGGCCAGCCGTTCTAAAGGACACAAACAACGCGGATGGATACGCTCTGTTTCTCTCATATGCCGTCCCATCTCTCTTCGACGTCGTGACTGTTGTTACCACACCTTTCGGCGAGTTTGCTGGATGAGTCAGCCCGAGGCACACAGACGTCAATGAGCCCACGCACACGAACCGGGTCTACCCAGGACGTCATACTTGAGGAAACGCCCCCCATCCCCATCCCGCTACTGGTCCCGTGAGAACCCGGCGTGCTCCGTCCGGGCTTTGTAGGGATGCGAGGTCAATGGTCTAACGACTACGGCATGCACGACTATGAGTACACCCCCCCCTCTCCCCCCTCCCGCTCCGCTCCACCACCCCCCCTCCCGCCACGCAACCCCACTCCAAACAAAAAATAAAAATCCCACAACAACAAACCACAACACGGTATCAATCTTACTTACCGCAGTTGGTCCATCTCGGACAGAACCGGAGAACTCGCGCCAGCCGTCCCCTTCTCCTCCTTGACCCCGCCGCCGTCGGCGTTAGGAGCACCCGCCCCGCCGCTCCCCCCATCGCGGCGCCCCTTCGACTGGGCCGCGCCTGCGGCCTCCACAAAGGCGATGCCGAGCGACAAGGCGGCGTCTGGCGGGGGCGGGGGCGGCGACTTCCCATCCCCGGGGTCCGACGACTTGGACTGATTCATGGGGGGAGGGGTATGGCGGCCGTGTTAGGGATCTGTGGCTTGTGCACGAGGTGACAACTACTGCTGTTGCGGAGAAAAGCAAGGGGCTGTTCGTTTCGGAGACCGAAGCTCAACAACACAAGGGTGAATAGCAGCGATCGAGAAGCAACGCAAATGCGGGTGCTGGTGTTGATTCTCCAGCGCTCGCTCACTGCACGGCATGATGTCTTGCGGGGGAGACGGACAGCATACACCTATATTTTATGGTGTGCGGCCAAATGTGTTTCGTTGGTCCCCCCGCCCCCCACAAGTTCTGCTATTATTGTGGAAACAATGTCGGAATGTATGAATATATGAATATCAAGTTGGTCGGTGGGGCCTTCCGCCCCCCTCGCTCAATGAATTTCGGAGAACTGAATCTCACTTCTCCAGTTAGTGTAGGAAAAAAATCTAGATACGAATGCTGTAAGGGCCGATTGAAGTGATGAACACAGACAAAAAAAAAAGAAGACTTACCTCTACAACTCCGCTATCGCCATCACTTCTTCCAGCACTGGCTGCAGCACCGGCGGCGGCGGCGGCATCCTGCTCCGGCATGATGAAGAGCGAGGCTACTCCGTGACGCACGAGGAGCGGCAGCAGGCCCGTGTACTGCCCTCTCGTGATGCCGAGCTCCTGAAAGACGTGCGTGTGTCGGGCAACCAGCCCCAGGCTTGACGTTCCGCTCCTGAACCCAGCAGCAGCAGCAGCAGCAACATCGGCGGCGGAGGCGGCGGCGGCCGTAGGATCAGCGGCAGTAGCCATATACTCCGTATGTACTCCGTATACATAAAAATACGAGGGCTGTTTCAATCCCCCCCCTATGGGAGCCGGTCTCGCGTAATACTCGCAGGAAAAGAATGGAAGGAAGTGTTTGAAGGTACAAGCAGCTGTGTAAATAGTTGTTGAGCACATCGGCTAAGTGGTGCAAGTTGATCGAGGATCGGAAAGATACTGCTGTATCGATACACGCCTACGGTGCATACAGCAACAGAAGGATAGACCCAGGTTCGAAGGGTCGCAGTCGGATACTGAAAAGAAGTGCGTCAGTCACCGCTTGGTCATGTGGTGCGGGAAGTTGTTGCACAGCGCTGATCCCGGGGCACACAACCACACGAGACGGTGATTCTGCGTGTGTGTGGGCCACAATTGTTTGTTCTGTGTGCAAGTCTGCCTGATGCTATGGTCATGTAGGACTACATACAGCAATGAATGCAGCAGCAGCAACATCAGACAGCCTCGAATCCAGCAAGCTGCGCTTGTTTGTACCTCCCAACTTTACGACATGTTTCCCGCTTGGCTCTACAGCAGCAGCAGTGTTACAGCAGTAGTCCATCACACACAACCGTCCATGGCTTAAAGTGCTTGTGTACCATCTCGTGAATGCTGTACAAAAGGTAGATACCGTAAGAGTCGGAGAGGTGGCACCTCCGTGTTAGCGTTTTTGTATAGCGTATTTCTCCACAACCAGGAGGGTACCAGTGCCGAAAAGGGTAGTTTTGGAAACATCTCATCGAGGGCTTTCCTGAGAGGTATCGGTTAGTGTTCGCACCCTCCTATAATAGTTGTGGAGAAACACGCTACAAACAAACGCTAACACGGGGGGGCAATCTCTCTGACTCTTACGGTATATGCATACGGACGAGTCGTATGCGTTAATGCTGTTCGGGGGGGGTACAGCTAGATACATCCTGGTACAGATTTCCTACACACGTAGGTTGAAGTTCGTTCCCAAAACATAATCGGATCGACAGAAAAAGAAAACACACTTGTGATGTACTTGGGGACGAAAGTACCAAGTCTCCGTGCGGGTAGCTGTCGTGGCTCACAGCAGTGCACACAGCCGGCGCGCTACGCGCGGGGCGCGCTGTGCGTACATCATTCCCGTCCGGGAGCTGCAGGAACGAAAGAAGACTGCCAGTTGTGGGAGGTAGACACAACTGCCAGTTGTGAGCGAGGTAGAGATATGCTGCTACGTACACATGCTATGTTGTGACTCGCTTCGTTCATTACGACCACAGCTGACTATGACGTCATACAAACCCCGGGGAGAGAACCAGAGAGAACCAAAAAAGATTGATTTCCAGAACAACATCCCTAGCGGTCCAGCGCGGGTAGCTCTCGACACAGCTCGCCGCATGATGTCATACTCTCGGGTCGTGCCCGCTACACTATTCCCGTCCGGGAGCCGAGAGAACGACACGAATCGGTTGAAATGTAGATGCCGAAAAAAAAAATCGGAGGCACGAGAGAGAACCGGCCTGAAACGAAACGAGACCACTCTAGATACATATATATATATATATTGTTGCTCCAGCAGCAGCAGTAGCAGCAGCAGCAGCAAAAGCTACGTCGGGTCCGATGATTGAACACACGCAGCAGCACCGGGGACAACATCGACAAGGGAACATATCGGTAACCCATAGCATACCTCGTGTGCACCAGCGCCGCCAGGCAGTGCACTGCGAGCACGGAGATGTCGAGCGGGACCGTCATCTGCGCCGCCTGGTCGGTCCTCACGCGGACCAGATCCACTAGCTCCTGGATAAGCTCCGGCTGGATGCTCATGTACGCCATGAGGGCCTCTGCGACCGAAAGGCAGTCAGGGAGACAGAGACAAGAGACAGAGGGACAGCGAGACAAGACAGACACATCGATGAGCAACACAAGTAGACTTATCAGTGGGCTTCAAAAAGGAATCGAATCGAATCCAGCCGAACCACCACCCTCCCCCCCGCAACCCCTTCTGTACCCTCTCCGGTCCATACCCCTCCTCCCCCTCCACCAGCCTTCCTCAGCAATCGACTCTAGAACTTCGTCCCACTTTCCCTCGGAGCCCCTGCGCAAACATCCATCGCCCAATCGGCTCTAGAACCCTACGGACCCCCCCCCCTACCTTGGGAAGGATGACAGTACACCAGCGCCGTCAGCGCCATGATCCTTCTCCGCACCGCGGCCCGCCGAGCCTCCACCCCCCCCCGCCACGCCACGGCGCTCCTGACCCTCGCCAGGAGGGAGAACAGCCGCCGCTTCGGGACGGCCGTGTGCTCGTTGGTCAATCGCCGGAACATGCCTTCCGAGGTGCTGTCTGCGTCTCCCGCTTCGCCTGCTGGTCGGCCTCCCACCCTCGCCGGCTGTGCAATTGTCGGCCAGTCATGCGAATGTAGTTTCCGACAGAAGAAAATGGGAGGTAGGGGTGGGGGGGTGGGGGGGGTGACGGTGGTCTCGCATTGGGTACATGAGACGACAGCATCAAAAGACAAAAAAGACAAAACAGCAATGAATCGAAAACACCAACGACACGAAGAACAAATACATATACGCATATGATGTGCCTCGTTAGCCTCTCTCTCTTTGTCTCTGTCTCGGTCTTTCTCCTTCTCTGTCTGTCTTACCACGAAGGTATTGCAACGTTAGTTAGTTTCTCCTCTCTCACCACAAATATACGCGTCTCTACCAGTCTCACCACAGAGGTATGCCTACTTCGTCTCTCCCCACAAACATATGCCTCTGTACAAGTCTCTCACCACAAATATCGTCCTGAAACGCGTGTACCCCCCGGGCGACGGTGCGCGGTTGCTCTCCTCCTCTTTTTCCCTCCCCCCTGCCTCCCCCCCCTGCCCGCTTCCGGAGGGAGAAGACCCGTCATCAGCACCGTCAGCGTCATCTTCAGCAGCAGCAGCAGCCTCGTCCGTGCCCTGAGAAGGGGCGTACTCGAAACACAGGTCGCCCGCGTTGACGGGTAGGATGGACGTGGGTTTCGGCTTCTTCGTCGAAGCTGCTGCCGCTGCTGCCGCTGCTGCTGCCGCTGCTGCTGCTGCTGCGGCAGCGGCGTCACTCTCATCCTGGACATCCAACAAGACAACAGAAAGGTGGAGAGGACGAGGGGAAAGAGAGATGGGGGGGGGGGGGGGGGATTATGACGGACACCGTTCTCTTTACATGACATGCAAGACAAACATGACCACAACAACAAACATGGGCTAAAAAAAAGGAACACGACGCTCTTTGCCATGGGACAACGAAAAAAACGCCACCGCAACAACAAGCATCAGCAAAACAACAAAAAAATACCACAACCCAAAAGATTGAAATGCCCACGGCCGAGAATCTTGAATTTGAACCACCGCGGCGGGCGCGGGGGGCGGGAAGGGATTCATACCACGGTACCATTAGACAACTGGCTGGGTTATCTTCGCCTTATTTGCCGTTCCCGAAAGCAAACAAGCACCCACAAACGCGAGCCTGTTGCAGCTAAGGGAGGACGGAGGCAACCATCTCTCGCAGCATCAAATCGCCCGCAAGCAAGAATGGCACAGTGTACCGAAAGGAGCCACACGTCCTCCGTTTTCTTGTGGTTTGGAAACGTGCGGGGACACTAGAGGCCAAGCATTTGTTGTGCGTGGGAGCAACAACAACTATTTAGCGACAAAAACTATGAGACGGTTGTCTCCAGGTTCGCGTGTGAGCAAGTTCCCGTTGGGATGTGTGGTGTGGATACACACCGGTTCAACCTCTGGTGAAGAGGCTGACGAGTACGGATAGTTGTGTTGTGAGTCAAGGGGGGAAGCAACCTTGTGTTGAAGCAAGGTTCAGCATCCATCCGACACTGTTTCTATCTGTGGCAACACCCCGAAGGTAGATCTCCGACAGGTCATCTGACGTCACAATCTACTACAGTCTGAGGTGGCATTCACACAACCCAGAGCACAAACCCAGGGAAAACAATCACTTACAACTCAGCGTCGTAGCAGCAAACACAAAGTGAAAAGCTTCAATCGGCCACCCCGCCGTGTAGGGAGAGGTGGGAACGGCTCGAAAACAAGGACGCACCACAACAACACAACAATCACATCAACAACATCGACCAATGTCTCTAACCAATCAACAACATCGACCAATGTCTCTAACTAGTAAGCACTCTTGTTGACTTCTCTTCCACGCTACGGGCACTTGCGTCCTCTCGCGTGGTCAATGGTCTAACCGATACAAATCAAGACATGAGTCCTCCATCACGGGCACTTCTACGCCCCCCCCCCCCCCCCCCCCCCC